CAGCGGTGGTGAGGAGGACCTACTGTTAAGAGAGGCATAAATTACAGAAATGAGACCAGGGGATCCTGGGTAGTGTTGACAGATGTGTTCAAATGGCATTTTGCGGTAAGGATATGTAGAGGTACGACGGAGGGACAGGACCCAGTGGCGCAATTGCAAATACCGAAAATATTCCCGTGGGGGGACCCCCCATGATTCTCGAAGAGACTCCCATGATGGAAACGAGCACTCAGAAAATCATGTACAATAACAAAAACATTGGAGGTCCACCAAGAGAAAGAAGGGGGATGTTCTAAGCCTGGTGGAAATAAAGGATTATGCGTAATCGGCAAAAGAGGTAGAAATGATGATATCAAATTACCCGAATATTTAACCCAGGTTCGTAAACTGTGAAGCATGATAGGGCTCAAATCAGGAGGGCGCAACTTAGGCGGGAGCCAAAGCAATGTAGTTAAGGAAAGCGGAATGCAGCTGGGTAATTCCAAAAGTACCCATAACGGGTTACTGTTTGGATATTTTCACTTAGGGGTGTACTCACTTTTGTTGCCAGCAGTTTAGACATTAATGGCTGTGTGTTGAGTTATTTTGAGGGGGACAGCAAATTTACACTGTTATACAAGCTGTACACTCACTACTTTACATTGTAGCAAAGTGTCATTTATTCAGTGTTGCCACATGAAAAGATAAAAAAAAATATTTACAAAAATGTAAATTACTTGTTAGATACTGTATACCACTGAATTTGTTGTGTAATACAGGGGATTGAGGTGCACCTCCCTATCTATCAGACCACACTTTCTTGTTTATAACACTGCATTTGGTCTGCACTTCTCATCCTCATGGCCATATATGGATGGAATTATTTGCAGTACAGGAGAGGCAGACACTTTTACAACTGTAAACTATTTAAGACAGGAATGGTTTCAGCAAACACACCTTCAACAAAAAGTCACGTGGGCAGGAACTTGCACAAAAGTCCACATTTTTTGTGGGCTGCCCTTCAACAAAGAAGTGCCTAAAGCTATATTTATGACTATAGTCCTTCTAATGTGGCATGTGCAAGATTGTACATTGAGGTAAGGCATTCAAATGGTCTTCCTAATGGCTTTAGCGATTCATGAGCAGTTCTTAGACTCTAGCAATCGCACTCCCTGCAGCTGATCTATTCCCCATTACTGACTTATTTTGTCAGGTTCCACACTGTGTCTGTGAAGGCAGCCATCTTGGTAGAGGATTGGGGCTTTGCTTCTCATGTCAGAGCTACATTCCTAATGATTGGTGATCTTATGATTGTTGGGGGAATATTCAAGAAGCGGTAGGAGAGGTGGAGGAAGCTCAAATCCACAGAATTGATGAAGCAGAAGCAGGGGATGCATGCACTGCTGACTCAGGTACAGGTACAGAATCCCTTTCAGCCAGCAATGCTGTAGGAACCAAATCTCACTTCAAATCTTTAAAGTGGTTGTAAAGACTGAAGGTGTTTTACCTTCATACATTCTTTGCATGAAGGTTCAAAATATTCTGCGTGCTGCTCCCCCTAAAGCCCCACTCAATATTTACCTGGCCCGATCTCAATCTAGTGCTGTGCACAGGAGCTTCAGCTCTCTCCTCATTGGCTGGAACACAGCAACTGGAACCTTTGACTCTTGCTGCTGTCAATCCCAGCCAGTGAGGAGCAAGAGGGGGATGGAGTTGAGCCACGCTCTGCATGTTTTATAGACACATAGAGCGAGGCAAGGGAGCGAGAGTGCACAAGTGCCCCCAGAGACAGCAGGGGACCCAGGAAGAGGAGGATCAGAGCTGCTCTGTGCAAAACCATTGCACAGAGCAGGTAATTATGACATTATTTTTTATTTATTTCTTTTAAACCTGAGCCTGATCACTTTAGGAAACACAATCGCCAGCAGATACAGTGAAGGAAATAAATATTTGATCCACTGCTGATTTTGAATGTTTGCCCACTTACAAAGAAATGATCAGTCTAAAGATTGAATGGTAGGTGTATTGTAATACTGAGAGACAGAATAGCAACAAAAAATTCAAAAGAAATGCATGTCTAACAAATTATGCACTGATTTGCATGTTCATGGGGGAAATAATTATTTGATCCCCTATCATTCAGCAGGATTTCTGGCTACCAGGTGTCTTTCATACAGGTAACAAGCTGAGATTAGAAGCAGTCTCTTAAAGGGAGTGCTGCTAATCTCATTTTGTTACCTATATAAAACACACCTGTCCACAGGAGCACTCAATCAGATTCCAAACTCTCCACCATGGCAAAGACCAAAGAGCTGTCCAAGGATGTCAGGGACAAGAATATAGACCTACACAAGGCTGGACTGGGCTACCAAACTATTGCCAAGCAGCTTGGTGAGAAGGTGACAACAGTTGGTGCAATCATTCGCAAATGGAAGAAACATAAAACAACTGTCAGTCTCCGTAGACCTGGTCTCACCTCGTGGAGTGTCAATGATCATGAGAACAGTGAGGAATCATCCCAAAACTACACGTGAGGATCTTGTCAATGATCTCCAGGCAGCTGGGACCACAGTCACCAAGAAAACAATTGGTAACATTATGCCGACAAGGATTGAAATCCTGCAGTGCCCGCAAGGTCCCTCTGCTCAAAAAAGCACATGTCCAGGCCCGTCTGAAGTCTGCCACTGAACATCTGAATGATGCAGAGGAGGACTGGTTGAAAGTGTTGTGGTCAAATGAGACCAACTTCGAGCTCTTTGACATCAACTCAACTCGCTGTGTTTGGAGGAGGAGGAATGCTGCCTATGACCCCAAGAACACCATGCCAACTGTCAAACATGGTGGTGGAAACATTCTGCTTTGGGGGTGTTTTTCTGCTAAGGGGACAGGACAATTGCACCACATCAAAGGGACGACGATGGATGGGGCAATGTACCGTCAAATCTTAGGTGAGAACCTTCTTCCCTCAGCCAGGGCATTAAAAATGGGTCGTGGATAGGTGTTCCAGCATGACAATGACCCAAAACACACGGCCAAGGCAACAAAGGAGTGGCTCAAGAAGCACATTAAGGTCCTGGAGTGGCCTAGCCAGTCTCTAGACCTTGATCCAATTGAAAATCTGTGGAGGGAGCTGAAAGTTCGAGTTGCCAAAGGTCAGCCACAAAACCTTAAGGACTTGGAGAGGATCTGCCAAGAGGAGTGGGCTAAAATCCCTCCTGAGATGTGTGCAAACCTGGTGGCCAACTACAGGAAACGTCTGACCTCTGTGATTGCCAGCAAGGGCTTTGCCACCAAGTACTATGTCATGTTTTGTGAAGGGCATCAAATACTTATTACCCTCATGAACATGCAAATCAGTGCATAATTTGTTAGACATGCATTTCTTTTGAAGCTGTTGTTGCTATTCTGTCTCTCAGTGTTACAATACACATACCATTCAATTTTTTTTTTGTAGACTGATCATTTCTTTGTGAGTGGGCAAACATTCAAAATCAGCAGGGGATCAAATACTTATTTCCTTCACTGTATACAGTACATCTATGAGGCTGTGGGCACAGTAGTGAATAAGCACCCTTCCCATACCAGGACATGTACTGCTAACTTTCTAGAGGAATTCAGGACAAATGGGTATTATATACGCACAATCAACAATTGCTGCTCAGTTGACACGTAGTAAGGCATATGGTGCTTAGCGTTCGACCAGCCAGAATATTAATTTATTTTAGCCACCAGAATAAATTTGCACACTTGCACACGTGTTTATGTACCTGTGTGTGCAAATTATGCCAGTAAGCTCCTCTCCAAAATGCAGGTTTGGGACATTTTTATGCGCTTGAATGCTGATCTAAAATACAAATCTAAAGCCACAATGTGTATGGGCACATTGGCTGAATTGGAGTGGCAATCAAAGGGATAAAAAATACATTTAAAAGCAGACTTTTATATTATATGTGTTTATATTAGGGAAGTATGATTTCTGTCAGAAATTCTTACCTGCATGCCTGTTTGGATTTAGTGGCTCTGTATTAAAGTCAATTTCAGAGAGGTCTGCTTTAAAGAAAAAGTCTAAACACAAACTTTAAATGTTGTGCTCACTTTCTGGCTGCATATTGTACCAAGAGTGTGTAAGTCAAAAAAGTAGCTGAACAGAACCATAACCGTTCTAGCATTGAAACGGTAATATATGTATTTCTATTGTGAATTCAGCTTGTCTAAAGTTCAGCAGTAAGTTTCAGTTAATATAAAAAGTGAAAGTTTGTGACAAACTATTAAGAATAACGGTGAGAAGTGTTGTTCATATTTTTTGTAGCTTTCACATCAGTAGACATATCCGTGTGGGTCCAATGCATGGATTGGAATGCAGATGCGTTCTGATTCGTGCACCAGACCCACGCGATGTACACTCTGGAATGCGTGTGAAGGTCCATGCAGACAGCTGGCCGTCACTGATTTTAACAAGCTGCTATCATGCCCTTGCATGATACTGGTGTGACAGCTATAGAAAATATGAATAACATTTCTCATAGGTATTCCTAAAAGTCTGTCACACACATCCATCGTTTATTACACTGGAAACTTACCAGTAGCTTTATCATTTTCACAGTACCAGACCTCTAAACCTAACATGATTCTGCCTGCTAATCTTGATTTAGATCTGATCTCCAGACAGATATAAAGAAAGAGAAAGAAAAACAAATAACGCAGCTCTGTAATCATTAATACATCATTAAAGTGACATTAACCACTAGCCTACAGGGCACTTATACCCCCTTCCTGCCCAGGCCAATTTCCAGTTTTCAGCGCTGTCACACTTTGAATGACAATTGCGTGGTAATGCAACACTGTACCCATATGAAATTTTTATAATTTTTTTGAGACAGATAGAGCTTTCTTTTGGTGGTATTTATTCACCTCTGGGATTTTTATTTTTTCTTAAACAAACCAAAAACCACTGAAAATTTTTTTAGTTTTTGTTATACAATTTTGTAAATAAGTGATTTTTCTCCTTAACTGATGTGCGCTAATGAGGCTGCAGTGATGGGCACCGATAGGCTGCACTGATGGACACTGATAGGTGGCACTGATGAGGAGGCACTGGTAGGTTGCACTGATGGGCATTGACAGGCATCACTGATGGGCACTGAAAGGCAGCACTGATACATGACACTGATATATGGCACCGATAGGCGGCACTGATAGGCAGCACTGACTGGTACTGATAGGCGGCACTGACTGGCACTAATAGGCGGCACTGACTGGCACTACTGATAGGTGGCACTGATTAGCATTGATAGGTGGCACTGACTGGCACTGATGGGTGACATTGAAAGGCAGCTCAGATGGGCACTGACTGGCACTGATAGGTGGCACTGATTGGCATTGATAGGTGGCACTGATGGGTGACACTGAAAGGCAGCTCAGATGGGCACTAATATGGGGCATTGATGTGCACTGGTATGCAGTGATATGTGGCACTGCATACTGAAGGTTTTTACCTGCATGAATAGAATGCATGAAGATAAAAAAACCTCCAGGCTTTACAACAACTTTAAATGCCTTTAATATAGCAGTATAAGTACCTTGTAAGTGCCTAACTATGACATGGTATCAGCCTTCTGCAAGTCTCTGTGGAGAGGAAGAAACAGCACAAGGAGCCAGTCAGTGATGCTGCAGTGAGAGGAGAATACTGATAGGAAGAGAGAGCAGACTAACAGAGAGCTAATCCCATCACTCTGCCACTTCTCTATTCACTGTCCAGTTACAGGCTGAAGCAGAAAAAGGCCTGTAATCATTTAACTGCATTACAAAAAAGTCAGGTCTCCAGACTGGCTGTGCTGTGTGTCAGAGTTGGACTGAATAGACAGGAATATACATCTTTTGGCAGTTCACATATATGGAGTTCACCTGTATATTTTAACTGTTTGCCTGGAATTAAAGTGGTTATAAAAACTGAAGTTTTTTTTTTTATCTTCATGAATTCTATGCATGAAGGTAAATAACCTTCTGTGTTCAGCTCCTCCACCCAGCTCCCCTTTAAAATCACCTTGCTCCAGCAATGTGCACGAAAGCAGCTACTCTCCTGGCTCTCTCCCTTTTCACTGGCTAAGAGACCGCAGCTGGAGCCATACCCCTTCAGCTGCTTATAAAAGCAATTCAGTGGCTCTTTAGCCACTTGGATTACTTTTACTGGCTTTGGAATTGCCAGCTGAAAACAATGATACCTCGGTCTGACCGAGATATCACCCTTCCTATCAAGAGACGTACTGGTACATAGCTGGACTGGAAGCAGTTATACTCACCTTACCTACACTCCCTCACCGCTCTTTCTTCTGTGTCGGCAAACGGGGAGCGGTGAAAACACTCCCTTAGTGACAGTGCTCAGGCCTAGCAATTGGCAAGTATGTCACATGGGTCCAAGTCTCATGCTCCCCCATACCCGGATGCATGGTAAGGTGAAAAGGTATCTCTTTCGCAAACACAAAAATAGAAACTCTCAAGGTACCAAAATAACCATTTGCACCTAACTAAAATAAGAAACATAAATTAATTGTACAAATATTAAAACATTTTCCCAGAGCAGTTTTTAATTTTCCTTTGCTATTCAAGCCATTGTTTACTGAGTCTGTCAAACAAGTTGTAAACTTAATGAAGTAGGAGAGCATTTAACTGGCAAACGATCAGCAATTTCTAGGTTGAAGTATGTTGACTAAAATGTTCTAAATATGTACAGGGGAACTAAAGATTAGTCACAGGGATTCAAGGTTAGTAAACGCCACATATATATACGCTGTAGCCTGGGTGCAGTCACTCAGTTGACACAGAAACATAAAAATTAATTAAAACACATCAGCTTGTGTACGGGATTCAAATAAAAAACATAAAGAGTTATTTCCTTTCAGTGGATGGGGCAGAGATAAGGCTGCCCCCACCTCATTTACCATAAGTATTTATTTCTCTGGGGCTGTGAAACAAAATGTGTGAAATGCTATTCAAAAGAACACATCTAGGTGTGTATGCTGACACTTGTTTGGTATGGTACCTGTAACCATTTATTTCCTATGGGCCCTCAACAAGTGTTCACACACCAAAAAAGGGCTCTTTTTTCCCCTCCAACATACCACATGTGCTTGCACATGTATGTACAAAGAGGAGGTGTGTTGTTTACTATAATAAGTTCCCCCTTCTCCCAAAACACATGCACAACACATGTCCAACATGCACCAACGCTTATTACAAAGTGTATAAATATGTCCGCATAGGTGTGAAGCTTGCCTAAATAGTATAATTTCTCAAAGGGACACAGACATCAATGAAAGCCTGACAATATTCCTAACCTGCTCCCATTACTTTTAAATATTGGGAAAGTGTGAACTAAATTTCTCCTATATAATATGGAATGTTGTCTCTAAAACTAAAATACAACTGAATAATCCCCCACCTTCTCCAGACAGCTGTTTATATGAACTTTTAAGTGGTATTAAAGCCAAAAGCAAACCTTTATTATATTGCATCTTACCAATTCTTAGATGTAAAGGCTGAATTAGTTTCCTTTTTTAGGCTTTGTTTCTTTTATTTTCACCTTTCATTCAGCCAGTAAGCCTAGTTTAAGTTCAAGCTCTCCAGCAGAATGCATCAGTTTACATGGATGATACAATCCATTTACCACTGGCAAGGCTGATTAATATGTTCAGCTATTATTTATTCATGTAAAACCTTCATCCCAAAGGACAAAAATTCTGTTTGCTGTAATGGATTATAAAGTGTGAGCTGGAGTTTGGCCTAATTTTGTTATTGTATTCAAATCTGCTAATACATTTAATACTCCCTCTCACAGAGTGACAATGCTGCTGTCTGCTGTGTCCTGGGCTCATTCATCCAGAAAGGAGGCACTCTAAGGCTCCATTCACACTTGAGGAACATCAAAATCGTGCGATTCTCATTGCAGCTTGATGCAACTTTGGTATGACTTTGACCAAGGATGACTGACTGTGCTGTACAAAGTCACACACAAGTCGCATGTATATCATTAAGGTGCGACTTTCATGCAACTTTGGAGGGTTTACATGGAAGTCTATGGCCCTGATGTCACAGGAAAGTTGGATCAAAGAAGTTCAGGAGCTACTCTCAAGTCGCTGCAACTTGAAGCTGCACAGATATGTATGGTACTCATTGGGAAATATGGGGTGCGACTTTGGAATGACAAGTCGCACAAGTGTGGATGGGCTCTAATACAAGCGGTGTTATTGGCTAGATCACCAGGTGAAAACAGAGGGGGAAAAAAGCCTCCTTAAAGAAAACTGGTGCAGCCACCACATCTAATGACTGGTAGGCTGTAATATAATACATTTTTGATTTTGAGTTTAATACCACTTTAAACTTTGTATCAGTGCTTCACACATGTTTTCATTATCATTGGTGCATGTGTATGACATCTTTACCTAGCTTCCCTAGCGGTATGATTATTTCAGATTTTTGGTGCTGAAAGCGGTACCATTATTTTGCATGGAAATATGTATTTTTTTTATTGTAGGCCTGTAATTTTTAGGAATAACTCACTGAAATCTGTCCGAACAAGAGTCTATTAAACATCCCGGGTATGATAAAATTTGAAACACGAAATCATAATTTATAATTTAATAAATAATCATAAAAAAATAATAATATAATAATACATTTAATTCAATAATATAATCAAAACCAAAAACACTGAAATTTGAAATAGAGCGCCAAGTTCGCACATCACTGAGCTTAGTCGCAAAATCGTTTTCAGTGTCTGATGACGAATTTCCCCACAAATCAATATCACTCAATTCTGCAAGTGGTTCTGATTTACTATCGCTGTTCTCTAGCTGGTCTAAAACCGCTTTTGACCTAAAGGGACGCTTTTTGGACGCCATGGACATTTTTCAGTTTCCAGGCAGAAAGAACAGACAAAATGCAGGCAGGGCACAGGACAAAGCACTAGGGACAATATGTATGTGAAATGGGTTGAAACAGCAATGTTTTACTATGTAAAATTTGTTTGGCAAAAAAATGACATTTTTTAAAATTTTCAAATTTCCCGCCGCCAGCGGCGCCCGTACGTCCCAACGTCACAGGGATCGGAAAACACAGAAGTCGGATGCCGGCATCGGCCGGAGGAGATGGCCAGGGATGCTGCAGGGGACACATTGCAGGAGCGCAGGACAAGGTAAGCTCTGCAGGGACTCCCTATGTATCGCCGCATGGTAAGCCCGAGTGTAGCTCAGGGTTACCGCTTTTGGTATTGCCATTTTACCCCGAGCTACACTCGGGAATACCGCTAGGGAGGCTAGCAGTGACAATAATTTGCTTGTCTTTGTTTATTTTGAATGTTCTTGGAAAACAGGTTTTTGTTATGTGATCCATTTCATTGCCAGCAAACATTCTACAAGCTACATAGGAGAAGGAAAACAGTTGCATGACATGTGAAATCTCATGTTAGTCAATGAGAGCTGTCCTAATTAGCACTACTGAAGTCGCTCTGACTTTAGAAAAGGTTCCTATACTACTTCAAGGAGACTTCTATCAGAGTTGTGCTCATAGACTTTAATGGAAGTTGCCTCCAGGCCAGATTCTCATCTATATTGATGTGATTTGGATCCAACATTACAGGAAGATTACCCAGGCATTCCCTGAAAGTTGCTTCAGGGTTGCTTCAGAGTCGCTTCAAAGTAGTGCTGAAGTCACCTGGCAAAGTTGCATTGTAGGTGACAGTTGTGTGAACCAAGACTTACACATGGGCAGCCAAGGACCAGTAAAAATAGGCAAATCGATAAGCTTTTTTATTGCCCCGACTGCCCACTAACGGACTAGCAGACATGGTGCTGCTCGGGTGAGTACAGACTGCTGCGCCTGCGATGCTTTGCATCACAGTATGGCAATTGATCGCTACATGACAAGCTAGATGGGAAGCACTGCCTGTCACTGCTGCTAGTGTATAAGGAGCCTTATTCACATGGGCTTAGCGATGCGGCAAATTACAAAAGCAGGTTAATTTGTTTATAGTGTTAAAAAGCATTAACTTGCATTCAAGGTGCGTGTTTAGCACTTGTTTTTGATGTGTCTGTAAGGCAGCATTTCTCCATCTTTTTTTTTCAACCGTGGCACCCTTTAAAATATGTACAATCTTCAGACACCCTAGTCTATGCAAAAACATAAATATTACCTGTCGGTGGGAAACCTTAGCTTGGGACAATGCACACAAGCTCCTTGATAAAATTAACTTCACATTAGAAGACTCCCCTTCACATCATAGGTCCCTTCATCAGAGAACCCCCAGGTCAGATTACCCAAATCAAATCAAGTTCTCCCCATTATAGAGTCCTCTCATCACTCAGAGCCCAGTAATCACAGAACCCCGACACATCCAGT